TTATATGAATGCAAATTACAGGTATAATCATATGTGCTGTAAAGAGCTTAGAACTTTGCTTTTAAATATTTATTTATTTATTATTAATAATATTTAATTTCAATAATACTTATTTTAATTAGGTACACTGAACAAGAGGGAACTTGGTGCAACTTACAATATGAACATGGATTTTATATGAATGCAAATTACAGGTATTATCATATGTGCTGCAAAGAGCTTAGAACTTTCCTTTTAAATATTTATTTATTTATTATTAATAATATTTAATTTCAGTAATACTTATTTTAATTAGGTACAATGAACAAGAGGGAACTTGGTGCAACTTACAGTACAACAGGAACATGGAAGTGATGACAAACCACTTAATTTGAATGTTATCTTTTAGCAATTTTCTAGATTATTATGTTTTTTTTCTTTATAAATCCAGTATAGAAAATAAGCCTATCTAAAAAGCAATTAAACATTTTGACAGACTAAATAACAACTCAGCAACAGCTCCTAAAATATCATAATTTCCCTCGATGCAAATGAAAAATCTAGTATTATAAATAACATATTGGACTACAAAAAAATACCTTGGAAAAGCAGTAAAATTTTAATCGTCAGTTTCAGTTTAGGGAATGTGGTTTCTAATTAAAAATAACTAATTGTTTTTAAACAATTAGTGCCATTAAAAGTACTTCTGCTGTTTTTCAATGACCACTGAAGAAAGAATACTCAAGTTCTCAGTGTGCTTCCTCTTCCTGGTGGTAAATTTTAATCACAGCTACAGTTTGTTCAAGAATAAAAGTTCAAGGAAGAATTTTGATTTAAAAGGAACTATCAAATGTTAATATGTAAAAGTCAACAAACCACTACAAGGCCTCTACATCTACTGTACATCTCAGATGTCTAAACAAGTCATTCAATGTTGTTGTTCTATCAACTAATCTTTAAGGGTATGTTCACACACACGGCGTAAGACTGGCGTAGCTAATCCATGGATTAAAATTCCAAAGTGTTCACACAAACGGCGTTCGCTATATTAAACGCTGGCATAAAATCAGTATTAATATAGGCCTATGGGGGAATAATTTTCAGTTTTATATAATGTACGGGTTATTAACTGCAGTAAAATATTCACAGTGCATCATTCAAACTTTTAAATCTGTGAATTGTTTGAAATGAACTTATATGATTACTGTATTTTAAATGAACAATTTTACTTCTGATTTTTCTGCTAGCATTGTGGAACACTTCTTGGTGTTGCAGGTTTTGATAGACAGTCTATAGGTTAAAATATCTTACAAAACATAATAAAAAAATATACATTGTAAACTAAGTAAAATGCAATAGAAAAAGAACCCCTTTACCATTTCATGTGTAGAAGCATAGGAAAGGGATCAAAGTAACTAATCTACTGCAATCGTGATTGGTCAATCCCTTGAAATGAGGTCAAATCATTCAAGCATCACTGACGTTAGCTCCGTGGCGTTAACTAATCTGGGGTCTGCAGCTATTGTTAATAATGCCACAGAGGTGGCGTTGTGAGTGGCTTAAGTAACGCCACTGCCTAGTTCACACACAAAGGCGTATGCTACGCCAGCCTTACGCTGTGTGTGTGTGAACATACCCTAATATAGCTGACAAATCAAGGTGATAAAGTAATGCTTTTTAAGCATACAGTATGATGTTGCATGAAAAGTTTTAAAATTATCATCATTCGTATAAGCAGAAATAACAAGGAAATATATTATTATTATTATTATTAGTAGTAGTAGGCCTACTGACAATAAGCATTAGGAACTGACGGGCATGTTTTCAGAAGAAGGCTAATGGTTGAGTAATTTTTTCTTTCTGTCAAATTTTCGAATTACTTTGTTTTCACACAATTTAAAAGGGACATCAAAGATAACTTTTTTTATAGGGTATTTTTGGTATGCCATTAATAATAGAATCAACTTTAAAATCGTTTTATGGCAATTTTTTATGAAGTTACAGTATAGGCCATTATATATGATTTTAGCCCCTTAGCAGCGTGACGTCACTGTAAGGTGATGTAACCAAAGATCATATATATAGCGCCGCATAAGGTATTCGCTGCGTACAATCTTTGCGTGCATGCTGTAACCATGGCTGTAACTCTTGCTGAAAACCGCTGATGCATATCAAGTCCTATGCATAATCAGTACATCAAGCAAGAAGAAATCAAATTAAATTGAATCATTGTTTAGTACCTCGTTGTGCTGCATTCATTGTAGAATTAGCAATGACTTGACAACCAAATCTCATTACTTAATTTTTAACAACATCCGCAATAAATTCTACCTTCAAATACATGCTGCCCTCAATTAGGAGAGAAGATCGTGTGGCCATTGTGAATTAGAAAGAAACAAAGTTCTATAATAATTTATTTAATTCAATTATTTATCTATTAATGTTATAGATCTTGCTTAATTTTTATCTTAATATTTTATACTGTGGGTTGTAATTGATCAGCTTTGGCTAGTGGGACCACAAGGGCTGAAAATTGTGCATGGTTGCGTGACCGGTGGTTGGAGGCAACATGAATGTCCCGGAGGCATTTTGGAGAAAAAATATTCAAGAAATAAGCTGTTGATCTATAGTGTACAGATAAAATGTGGTGCTAGAGGCATTTTATTGAGACAACTTTCAGGTCGGAGGCAAAAACATTGTGTTTCCTTGTATGTGGACCGCCCTCACAAAATATTGGTGAAATAAATAAATAATATAGAATTAATTTTGTCCATTTTTAAAATATATGCTGATTTTTTTACATGTAATTTGGTATGTATACTGAGATCATTTCATACTTTTTTTTGCCAATTAATGTAGAAAATGTAGCATGCCGCAAAACCAAGCTGTGTATAAGCTGAAAAATATTTACAGATACCGGTATACAGTAGGCCTACTGCAAGTGCTAATGTGTTTTTGTAACTTGGTATAAATGGGTTATTGAGTTTCCTGATGCAAACATCATTTCATGATTAATCTTAATATTTATTTATTACACCATGGCTAGGGATACAGCACCGTATTTCTACTTTCATTTGTTAAAGGTACTGTAAATGGCCAAAACCACCCAATGAAGTGCCAGAATGTGCGTGACGTCATCTTTCAAGACTAACATTGCAAATCACCCACGATGAGCGGTAAAAAGCAAATGATGTACTGTAGGCCTACTAGGTATTAGAACGTGATTAACATGGCAAAAAGTACAATACAGTACTTAGTACTGTATAGTCATCGATAAATAGGCATATGGTTCCACCCTGTAAGAGTCATTCATTTATCTAGATAGGCCTAAAGCCATATCAAACAAGGACTGAATCCGTATCAAAATCATGGAAGGCCTAGGCCTTGCTTAGGTTCTTTACTTGGCGGCGGCCCTGCCGCAGTGAAATTAATCTGTGGTGGCATATATCAGTCATGGGCACATACTGTACATGCCAACACTCCCATTTTGTCTGGCAACTTGCATTTTTTCACATGCTCTCCAGGTTTACAAAGAAAACTGCATAGACATACTTCTAATATATTAATTTGTCTTTTTATGCAATAAAATACTAGGAAAAACCTCAATATTTACATTATCTTTTAATATTTAGCTTAGCCTAATGGTGCAGTCTGTCTGAAATCCTTTTTAAATGAAGGTTAATAATAATTACGATTAGAATACTATTAGGAATAGTAACGTATATTGATCCATATAGACATAGCCACACAAGACAAGTGATTCTATCAAACATACAAGTTAAAATCAATAACTTTATTATTCAATACATACTGTATCATATGAATCATGAGAGGCAAGGCAAGCTTTCAGGAAGTTAGGTTATAATACTGAATTCTCCGTCGCTGTTACACTATACTGTACTTAACCACAATCGTAAACATTGTTCGGCCAGAGCCCAGATCAATAAAAAAAGGGTACAAGAGACTAGTAAGCGAAGAGCCTAAGCAAGGCCTGGGACTACGTCAAAAGTTTGTTCCCGAGGATTGAGGTCTTGTTTGATATGGCTATAGAATGACGTGACTCTTATATTTCTGAGTGGAACCATTACACCTATTTATCGATGATAGTATTTTATGAAAAATACTGTACTCTTTGCCTACTCTAATCATGTGCTAATCTGGTACTCGCTTGTCACACCGCTCACACTGTGGGCGATCGCCAATCTGCAATGCCGGTCTTGAAAGATGACGTCACCCACATTTCGGCACATTGGGCGATGGTGATGTACAATGCCATTTACCGTACCTTTAGCAAATGAAAGTAGAAATACAGTACTGTATCTCTAGCCACAATTATTAAACCTTGGGTTTGGCAACGATTCATAACAACTGACCAATCATGCTAAATTAACCAAGCATCAATATAATCTCTTTATTTTCTTGCATGATGATGTAGATTTTCGACAAAAAGTTGTCATTGTTTGTTATGAATAGACCATCTGAAATTTCATATAAAAAGAAACTTGTGCGTATGGTTTATAGTGTTGTTGAACTGACAGGAGTAGGCCTAGGGGGAGCAACCTTGTGCTAAAGTTTTCTATTTTCAGATCCAAGTAGTTGGAGTGTTCCATAAAATCACTACCAACATTCAGTGTTGATGATAAAATCAATGATTGTATTGTTAACTTGACCTAATGACATGTTAATGTAATTTTATTAATACATTTCATTTTATTTACTTATTTTACACAAAGGTCCTGGGACTTCTAAAGAAGCAAAAAGAATAAATTCTATTTCCTTATGAGACAAACTTTCACCTAAAGATAGACCTACGTGGTGCAACAACCAATAGTAATTATAATCAAGAAATGTATAAAGATACAATAAACTCTTCCTTGTCCAATCTGTTGACGCGGCCTGGCTTACATTAACCACTATAACAACTCCCTGCATTAACAAAACAATATAACAACATTCAAACAAGCAATTGTTTGTTTCAACCATCACTGACGATACTGATAAAGAATAAACATCAAACTCACCCAGAATATGCCTATACTCGGTTTCTCTGTCTATGTTATCAATGGTGACAAACAAGTTATTTAAAGATAAAAATGGTAGACTCGGATGATTGTCCTAGCAGTGGTTGTCAACGGACAATCCGAACTAGCCTCGGCCGCACTCGCAAGCAAAAGCTGCTTGGTTGTGGGGCTTGATCTGCTTCCTCTCCCTTCTCTAACTTCTTCGCAATTACAGTTCGTCAAAATGGTGTAGATTCACACTTTCTCTCCATTCAATTCTCCTGTAAGTAATTAAAAGTTATAGATTGTTTAACCCTTCGAAAAAGACTACAAATTATTCACAATACAATAAAATTCTACTCACTTCCGTGTATTCTCCTTTCCACCCAGAAATACTTCACTCAACCAAGACTCAACTTGATCTTTTAGTGTACAGAGCTAGTACTCAGTACAGTACTGTACTTCTGTTTGGGGTTAGAGGTTACAACAGCGCCCTCTGTCTACATGGCAGTACACAACACGTCTAAATATGGTCTACTCATGTGGAGGTCTACTCTAGAGGGGAAAAAATTATTTTTCGAAAACGTTTCATAATGACCACTCAGGAAGCCTAAGTTCTTATGTTATATTTCAGACGTAAAAATAATCATTACTGCTTTAAATCAATACTTACAGTTGTACTTTTATTATTAAGAATAGCGTCTGCCTTACTATAAAAATCCCCTCAAAAATAAAACTCCGATAACTATTTCTGAATTAAAAATCTTATAAAATATCTATTAAATGGATTGCGGTGCCTGCCAAGGGGCGTTTAAGAGATACAGGAAAGTATTTTTTTATGATATGATTTAATAATAATAATAATAATAATAATAATAATAATAATAATAATAATAATAATAATAATAATAATAATAATAATAATAATAATAATAATAATAATAATAATAATAATAATAATAATAATAATAATA